CCCCAAAACCCCAAAACCCCAAAACCCCAAAACCCCAAAACCCCAAACGCTCTGAATTAAATTGAAATATTTTGTAATTTAATATTATTTAATATAATAAATGAAATCGAAAAGAAGGTACGAACAAACTTTGGTCTCCAAAGAAAATAACATCAATGAAAGTCTCAAAAAACTATTAGTAGAAGAATTTGACCTTTATAATCGTAATTATGCTAGTCCAAATATGCTTCGATATAAAAGATATGCTCTATTTCAAGGAACCTTCCAAGGTCTACCTAGTTTTCTGATAAAAAGATTCAAATAAACTACAAAAAACCAGGTTCTACAGTAAGGACTTGGAAGCACTGGAGCTAGAAATGTTCGGAAGAAAGAAAAAGAAGAATATTTGTGATGGCATGAACAGCATTAATGTAAAACAAATCAAGGATTGATATGTAGACGATGAAGTTGAAAATAGTTATTTTCCAATGGATAGGAATATTTTTACCCTACTTATTAAGTTGACTCCTAAGATTCAAAAGAATTTGCATTTGTATTCAATTACCTTATCAAAAAGACAATTAGAGATACTTTTTAATAGTGTTAATAATCTGAATGTTCTCTGATTGAATTTTTGAAAAATTGACACTAAGAATATCAAAATTTGGTCTCAAAGAAGACCCCGACTTGATCAATTATGGATCGAAAATTGATGGGAAAGCTACGAAACCTCTAAAACTACTCATATTGATCTTGAGAGTATTATGGTTTGCATCTCAAAATCCTCATTAAAATCCACTATTGGATTGATTCTTTTAGAATGGAATTACAGCTCTAAACAACAACTTCTGGAATTATCTGATAAATATTTGAATTCAAGAACACTCATCAAGTACAGAAAAACCCGAACAACACAATACAGACGGCTTACACACCCAAAATGCGATTGTCTCCTATTCTAAAATACACGTTATCTACACTCATCAACCACCTTCACTCCCCTCGGGGTTTTGGGGTTTTGGGGTTTTGGGGTTTTGGGGTTTTGGGG